AAAATTGTTAGATCTTCTTGTTGGATAGGCCCTTTAAGTATGATATCTAGTGTCTTTCCTCATCTCTTATTATAGTTGTTGGTTTAAAATCTAATTTGTCTGATATAAGGATTGCCACCCCAGCTTTCTTTTGATGTCCATTAGCATGGTAAATGGTTTTCCACCCCCTCACTTTAGGTCTGGAGGTGTCTTTGGGTCTAAAATGAGTCTCTTGCAGACAGCATATAGATGCGTCCTGCTTTTTTATCCAATCTGATAGCCTTTGTCTTTTGATTGGGGCATTTAGCCCATTTACGTTCAAGGTAACTATTGAAAGATATGAATTTAGTGCCATTGTATTGCCTGTAAGATGACTGTTACTGTATATTGTCTCTGTTCCTTTGTGTTCTATGTTACTTTTGGGTTCTCTCTTTGCTTAGAGGAACGCTTTCAATATTTCTGGTAGGGCTGGTTTGGTGATCACAAATTCTTTTAGTTTCTGTTTGTCTTGGAAGCTTTTTATCTATTTTCAATGAGAGCCTAGCTGGATAAAGTATTCTTGGCTGCATATTTTTTTCATTTAGTACCTGAATATATCATGCCAGTCCTTTCTAGCCTGCCAGGTCTCTGTGGATAGGTCAGCTGCCAATGTAACGTTTCTACCATTGTAGGTTACAGACCTCTTGTCCTGAGCTGCTTTCAGGATTTTCTCTTTGTCTCTGAGATTTGTGAGTTTTACTAGTAGATGTTGGGGTGTTGAGCTATTTTTATTGATTTTGAGGGGGGCTCTCTGTGCCTTCTGGATTTTGATGCCTGTTTCCTTCCCCAAATTAGGGAAGTTCTCTGCTATAATTTGCTCAAATATACCTTCTGCCCCTCTCTCTCTTCTTCTTCTGGGATCCCCAATTATTCTAATTGGGGATTTGAATTAGAAAATTCAAATGTTTCACTTTATGGTATCATTTATCTCTCGAATTTTCCCCTCATGATCCAGTTGTTGTTTATCTCTTTTTCAGCTTCTTTATTCTCTGTCATTTGGTCTTCTATATCACTAATTCTCTCTTCTGCCTCATTTATCCTAGGAGTTAGAGCCTCCTTTTAAAAAAAAAAAAGATTTTATTTATTTATTTAATTAATTAATTTATTTTTAAGATTTTATTCATTTGATAGAGAGAGACACAGTGGGAGAGGGAGAGAGTGTACAAGGAGGGTAAGCAGCAGGCAGAGGGAGAGGGAGAAGCAGGCTTCCGCTGAGCAGGGAGCCCAACGTGGGGCTCGATCCCAGGACCCGCCCAGAGATCATGACTTGAGCTGAAGGCAGACGCTTAACCATCTGAGCCACCCAGGCGCCCCTAGAGCCTCCATTTTTTATTGCACCTCATTAATAGCCTTTTTGATTTTGACTTGGTTAGATTTTATTTCTCCAGAAAGGGATTCTCTAGTATCTTCTATGGTTTTTTCAAGCCTAGCTAGTATCTTTATAATCATTTTTCTGAACTCTAGTTCAGACATCTTACTAATCTCCATATTGACTAGGTCACTGGAAGTTGGTACTGCCTCTTATTCTTTTTTTTTTTTAGGTGAGTTTTTCCATTTTGTCAATTTGTCCAGAGAAGAACAGATGAACAAGAACAAAATGCTAAAATGGTAACAACAACCCCAGAGAAATACACACTAAACAATCAGAAGAGACCTAAAACCAGGGGGAAATGAAAAAAATATATATGATCAGGCTGGTGAATAGAACAGAGCCATACACTAGATTTGGGGTGTATTTTGGTCAGTTAGAAGAAAATGCATCCCAAAATTTTAAAGAAAGAAAAACATATATACACACACAAAATAACGTTAAATACAATGAAGGGATAGAATATGACTGTAAAAATGAAAACTAAAAAAGATTTTGAAAAAGGAATTGATAAGATAAGAAGTTGGTTGAAAAAGGAAAGAAGAAAAATTCAAAAAGAAAAAGATAAAAAAATTTTTTTAAATTAAAGTTGAAAGAATAAAGAAACAAGAAAGCTGGGGTGCCTAGGTGGCTCAATCCTGAAGCGTCTGTCTGCCTTTGGCTCAGGTCCTGATCTCAGGGTCCTGAGATCCAGCCCCACATCGGGCTCCCTGCTCAGCAGAGAGTCTGCTTCTCCCTCTCTCTCTCCCTCCCCCTACACCTTCTCTCAAATAAATAAAAGTCTTTTTTAAAAAATAATTAAAAAAAAAAGAATCATGGGGGAAAAAGCCATGAATTCTATGTGCAGTATTCCCCTAGCCCTGGAGTTCTGTTTTCATTGATCGGTAAACTTGGTCTTGGCTGGCTGTTTGTGCTGATCTTCTGGGGGAGGGGCCTGTTGCCGTGGTTCCCAAATGTCTTTGCCAGAGGCGGAATTGCCCTGCCCTTTCTGGTCCGGGCTAAGCAAGCTGCTCGGGTTTGCTCTCAGGAGCTTTTGTTCCCTGCAAGCTTTCCGTACAGTTTTGGAGGATGAGAGTGAAAATGGCAGCCTCCCAATCTCCGTCCCAGAGGAGCCGAGAACTCAGGGCCCCACTCCTTAGTGCTCCCCCAGAGAAAGGCAGTAAGTCACTCCTGTCTCCCTGGTCTCCAGCTGCACTCCGTGCTCACCCGGCCTCTGGCACCCGACCCTGTGTGGCGTCTCCAAACCCAGCAGATCCCTGCGGTGCGCTCCCACGCCGCTCCTTCCGGGGGAGAAAGGGGAGTCTCCCTGGATCTGCCGCTTGTTGGGTCCCTGCTGGAGGAGCAGTGGCCTGACTGGGCTGCGGATCACAGTTTATGGCAACCCCAAGCTGAGAGCCCACGCCTCGGCTCCGTCTCTGCAGCCGGCTTCCCCGCTCTGATACCTGGGAGCTCTGCTGCACTCAGGCACCCCCGGTCTTTCTGTGACCCCGAGGGTCCTGAGTCCACACTGTCCCGCGAGGGTTCCACCCCCCGCTTAGCCACCGGAACGACGTCCCTCAGCGGAGCCGACTTCTAAAAGTTCTGATTTTGTGCTCCGTGGCTCTAGCACTTGCCAGAAGTGGCCCAAGGAGGCCCCCTCCCCCGCCGTCTATCCTCCCGAATATCGCCTCGGATTCACTTCTCCGCACGTCCTACCTTCCAGTAAGTGGTTGCTTTTCTGTTCAGAGAGTTGCTGCGATTCTTTTCTTCGATCTCCTCTTGAGTTTGTAGGTATTCAGAGTGGTTTGATAGCTATCTAGCTGAATTCCTGGGACCAGATGAAATTTAGGTCTCCTACTCCTCTGCCATCTTGGACCACACTCCTCTTAGTGCTTAGTTCTACACAGCCTTTACATGATAACCACAGCAAACAGGTTTTATGATGGGATGGTAAAAGAGAGATCTGGGGTACCTGTGGTGGGCCAGCCTCCTAGTGAAGGTCCCTGGGATTACATAAGGCAACATCAAGGTTCTGGATACTCATTCAGCCAATATTTATTAAGAACCCACCATGTGCCAATGGTAAACTATGTATCTTACTATATAGCAGTGTGCAAAACAGAAGAGAATACCTATTTCATGGAGCTTATTATACCTTAGTGGGGTGAGACCATACATATATTTGTACACAGTCTGTCCTGTGATTATAAGAACTATGAAGAAAAATAAAGCAAGTGATGGGACAGGCAATCATCACTGGAGCGCTGGTTTGAGAGGTTGCTATTTGTCATAGGTTGGTTAGGGAAGGCCTCTCTGGTCAGACGGTGTATGAGTAGACAGCTGACTCTATGTAGGCCACTGATGAGGTGAGACTGTATAGTTCATGGGACAAGATGAGGAAAGAACTTTGCAGGCAGAAGGAAATGTAAAGGTGCTAGCTCCCTGAGTGCACTAAGTGGAAAGAATAGAGACTATGACAGACACATTTCTGCTATGTAAGTGCAGCACTAGTTCTGCAGAGAAGTGTTTATGATAGGAAAAAAGAATGCCTACTTTTGTCTACATACACATTTAGAAACAGTAATACTTTAATAAAAGGTCAGTCTTGAAACCAGTACTATCAACTTCAAGGTTCTTTAGCCATGAGCCTTTCATTCTTATATGGTAGGCGGCATAGGCTAATGCTCCTGCAACTATGTCCCCCTTCTCTGCAAGCCAAGGTCTGTCTGATTCTCCAACAGTGGAGGGCCTTGGTCCATTCACTTGACCACTACTGATCCTATGACCCTTAAGAAACAAATGTTTCAGTTTTCCTGGAATATTAAAGATACTGGGGGCACCAGACAGGTCTTAATCAGTTCTGACTGCTCTGACAAAATACCATTAATTTCTCACAGTTCTGGCAGAGGTGGGTGTCAGCTGATTTGTTTCCTGGTTAGAGGTCTCTTGCTCACACCTACTTTCTTCCTGTATCCTCACCTGGTGGAAAGAAAGAGCTCTGGTCCCCTCCTCTTCTTATAAGGGCACTAATCCCATTATAAGCGCTCCACTCTTAAGACTTCATCTAACCCTAATTACCTCACAAAGGCCTCACCTCTAGATGCCATCACATTGGGGTGTGGGGCTTCAACATAAAGGTTTGTGGGCAGTGCAAACATTTAGTTCATATCAGGGCATAATTCTCCTCAATCAGAATTGGCATATTTAAGCAAGAAGTTTTAGATAGATATTAGATTAATATAAAGATAACAGAAATAGAAGTAGAAACATGAAAAAAATAAGATAAAAGAGATAATTAAATATAAAATATATTTACTTACATTTCAGCATGCAAGGGACACTCCATAAATGTTTGCTTGTGGTTAATCAAAATAATTCCTGTCACACATCTAACACTAAACTTATTATATACATGAATACTTAGCAGTGTTTCTATTTTGTTTCTATCCTTTCCATATTTAAGGAATTATTATTATGGCAGAGTAACATAAATGAATGGAAGGTGAGTATAGGTTTGCTAGTGTATTGTGTCAAGCACTGTCACTCAGTTATGTGCTCATTTTTTTTTTTACTTTTGTATAAAATATTTTGTGCATTGTTAATTAACCTCTTATCTCTTGTCACTTTCTTTTAGGGCTTTTTTATCACGAAATGTCCAGACTTAATGATTTTGGCTTCCCAATTGATATATCTTAACTTATCCTTTAATGACATCAGTTACTTTCCCACAGAAGTGAGTCCATTTTTATCATGTGAATATCACACTAATTTCTTATTAATAATAATTATAAAAAAATAGACACTTATGATACCCTGGAAAAGAGTAAAAAAAGAGATAGATGATACAGCTGATCAATGTTCCTTTGCTGATTCTACTACATTAGTTCAAATGGTTTATAAAATGTACCAAATAGAGATCTGTGGTACTTTATCATTCTACTCATGTTTGTTTCTCTTTGCTGTTCCTCAGATACTTTGTCTTAAAAATTTACAAATACTATTACTGAGAAATAATCCTATCAAAGAAATCTCTTCTGAAATTCAACAACTTAAGCTCCTTAGAGTTTTCAGCATTGCCTTTAATTTGATTACTACTCTTCCACCTGGGTAAGGTCCATAGCCTGAGATTATGAGCACAGAAAATAAAGAGCTTATAATTTAGAAAGAGATCAATTTCCCTTTTGAAAATGGGCTAGCAACTTTTTTAGCCATTGAATGATTCCCATTCTCTTCCGATTAACTGATTTGCTTCTTATCATTGTGTTAAAAAGTAATCCTAGCAGCTACATAGATGGCAACTAATGCGGGGCTAGTGAATGCTCATCTAGAGATTCATTATTTGAGTATGGATTAAATGAACACAAATCACAGAAGGAGGCTCAAGTGAGAAACTTGCACTGATCCCTTGACAGCCTTTATACATATGGAAAGGACACTGCATGTGGAATTAGGAAATCTAGACTTTTATCTTCAAAATTGATAATGATCTCTTTTGTCTGGAGAGTCACTTAACCTTCTTGGTCTCAATTTCCTAATCTATAAATCAAGAAATTAGCCAGTATGATACATAATATCCTTTAATAGGAATGTTGATATTTGGGTATAAAAGAGATGGAATTTTTCCAGACATATGGACTGGTAATTATTTTTAATTCCTAAACCAAAACCTTAGCCAAATGCAAAACAAGATACATCTTTCAGGTTAGAGTTTAACAAATTGAATGTGGGTTAAGGGCAAAGGGACAGGGACTCTTAAATAGTTGAACAACATTTTGTAAAGAAGATTCTCATAGTAATTAAGGAAACGCATCAAAATTCATTTATAAAGTTGTTCACCCAGCATTGTTTATATTTATCAATCCAACAAATTCTACATTCATAAACTGTAAAACTATTCAGTCATTTAAAAGAACAAAAAAGCATGTAGAAGTTATGCCGTGTCTGTATAAATAAATATATATATATGCATTTCACATCACACACAATATACATAAGAAATCAACACTAAAAGTAAGAATATTGCACTGTGTGTATTTTATTTCTGTTTAAATCATCTATATTTTTCAACAGTAATGTAAATTGTATTTTCCCTGCCTTGATACTAGGAGCAGCTATTTCTCTAAGCAAACCCTGCTTCCTTTTTATTGGAAGATGGTATTTAAAACTGAAATCTGGGTACTAGGTGTCCCAATGCTATTGGGACGACATTGCTTCTAGACACTCCCTGGGAACAGAGCTAAGTAATATATGTACGTATACTAATCTGTGTGTACACACATATCTATAATTATTTCTGTGTGTGTATATATATATTTATGTATATATACACACACACGTAACCCTGCATGTATATATACACATATATGCACACACACACAAATACATATATATGTGCATATAGAGACACTTATATATACGTATATGTGCATCTAAATAAAATTTATATTTAATAATCTATAAAATTGTAATTATAAACTTTAATAACCGTAACTGTCATTTAAACAAAATGTAAAAATTCCTAAAGCAACTACGACTTGTTCATAACTACAGGGTCAACATTGTTCACTATTTAGAGATTAAGCAAATTAGTTTGAACTATTGGTTAACTATTGGTTATACTCAAAAAGTTTTAAGGAGCTATTTCTCAAAAATATTAGTGTTTCTAAAATAAATCAGTATATATATATATAGACATATATATATATTTAAGATTTTATTTATTTACTTGACAGAGAGAGAGCACAGGCAGGGGGAGTGGCAGAGGGAGAGGGAGAAGCAGGCTCCCCGTTGAGCAGGGAGCCCGATGCGGGGCTCGACCCCAGAACCCTGAGACCACGCCCTGAATCAGAGGCAGACGCTCAACCAACTGAGCCACCCAGGCACCCCTAAAACAGTATATTTTTTTATTAAATAGCATAGGTTATGTATACATATCAAGGGGAGACCGACAGCACAAATTCACCAAGGCCTAAATTTTTGTTGCTACTATTTTTGCTTTGACCTGCTTGGGGCATAGAGTATAAAGCAAATGCAGATAGGAAAGCCCGGATTCCTTAGGCACAAAGAACTGGGTTCTCATCCTAGCTATGTCCCTTACAGGTAGGCCCTCTACAGTTACAGTTATGCCCTTGATTGTACTATGGAAATGTATAATCAACTCTCTCAGATTAAATGTTGGAAGTTTTGTAACCACGAAAAGGTCTGTGATTTGCCTATTTAGTTTTCTTGTAAAATAAAGACAATAGATCATTTCAAAAATCCAAAAGGTTTCTTCTTTTTCCCAAAGCTTTGAGATAGCATTTGTTCATGAAATATGTGGGATATTTTGTTCATTTAAGGGGTAATGACATCACCAGGATGTGTCTCTCTCCTATCCTTGTTTTGTTTTGTTTTGTTTTGTTTTCCCCTTTCTTTTCTGTTTCTTGTCTTTTTCCATCCCAAAGCCTAACTGGAAGGCCCTCACAGCCTCCAGAAAGAACCTACTCCGCTAACATCTTGACTTCGGACTTCCCGCCTCCAGAACTGTGAGAGCATGTGTCCGTTGCTCTGAGCCACCTGGCTTTGTGGTCATTTGTTAGGTCAGCCCTAGGAAACTAATACAGCAACCAAGAAAAGACTATCTCTAAATGTGTTAGAAATTTCTCAGGTGGCTTTATCTGTATGGGGCTTTATCCACTCCAAACATTTCAAAGCAGTCTTAAAGGATAGATGAATCCTTTTAGGAACTTTGGTTGTCATTAAACCACCTATAATGAAAAAAAGTCCATAAATTTCAAGATCGTAGAAAAATGTAGTTTCTCTATACTTCTGTTTGCTCAAGTATTTAATTCTTTATTCATACCTCGTAATGACAAACATGTAATCGTTTTTAATTTCATTTTCTCTTTCTATCTAAGGTTATTTTTTTTGTCCCATCTTGAGGAACTTGATATTTCTTACAATAGTATTGTTTCCATTCCAAATGAAATCCAGAAACTCAGGTATTTTGGAAGTCGTAAGTACACAAAGTCATATGCCCTGTAAGGATATATTTAGTGATGGCTGTGTTGGAGAAAATTGAGTTCTTCCATATATTTAATAGCTATAAAATATGATAAAACATCACATTTACAAAAACATAATTTGAATGATTGGCATTTTTAAGACGTAACATTTTCAGTAATTATTTAAAAGCTGTACCGATGGCTTCTTAATAGAATGACTTGCTTCATTTTGTCCATTTTTCTGTGTGTACACCTCTAGTTCTTATCAGTTTTATTTATTTGGGGTAAGGAAATACATATATACAGTGTAAGCCTAATACGAAGCTCTGATTCTTTCTCACATTGATTTTTAAAAAGTCTCTGAAGTTCATCTATGTCCTCCTAGGTCAGTACCATACTATTTTGATTATGACTTTAGAATAATTTTTAATAATTAATAGGGAGATTATTTTTCAATAATATTATTTTAACTTTTCTCTTTAGATCATTTAATATAATTCGAAGCCCCTCCACCCCAAAAAAACATAAACACAAAACTGAGGTTTTGATTGGAATTGTCTTGAGTTTACATATAAATTTTGAAGAATTTACATTTCTGATGTTAATAAATCTTTTCATCCTAAAACATAGTATATTTTTTCATTTGTTCAGATCTTGTTTTATGTCCTTCATAAGAATTTATGATTTGCGGTACCTGGGTGGCTCTGTTGGCTGAGGGGCCAACTCTTGGTTTCAGCTCAGGTCATGATTTCAGGGTCGTGAGATTGAGCCCCACCACCAGACCCGCATCAGGCTCTGCGCAGAGCCTGCTTGAGATTCTTTCCCTCTCCCTCTCCCTCCCTCTCTCCCTCCCCACGCGCTCTCTCTCTAAAATAAACAAATAAAATCTTTTTAAAAATTTATGACTCATTTCACATAAATCCTTTATCTTTATTACTAACCTTCTCTAAGTATTCTATAATCGTGTTGCTACCATGAATGTAACATTTTCTCTAATTTTTATTTCTAGCTATTGCCAGTACAGAATAGAGAAAAGCTATGTCCTTCCTTACACGAATTTAAAATCAAGCTATATAACCAAAATTATCTTCATTCTGGTTCAGTTTTACTAGATTTTCTTTGGTTTTCTAGGAGCATAGTCTTATCTTCAGTAAAGCGAGATATTTTTCTCTCTGCTTTTCTAATATTTGTACCAATTATTTAAATACCCATGTGACAATCTTTATATTTTAACAGGAGAATTCAACCTGCTCACATTTGTTATGGTTGATAGCTGATATATTCAATTTTTTTCCTTCCATTTTACTGTGTATTTATTATTTATTTACTTTTTTCTTTTCCTATTTGCCTTCTGTGTGTGTGTGTGTGTGTGTGTGTGTGTGTCTGTGTGTGGGTGTCTGTGTGTGTGTGTCTGTGTGTGTGTGTGTGTGTGTGATTTTTTTCAGGATGCTATTTGTTCTCTTTTTTTCCTCCCTCATTAATTTTGGAACTCTTCTGTACTTTCCCAGGCTATTAATGGCTATCTTTTTTTCCCTCCAAACACACAAACACATTTTTTTTAATATTTTATAAAATCAAGATAAAAGCTACTTCCCCCTCTATGATGGTCCATCCCCCTCTGCTGCCTTCCACCGATAGTTGAGACCTTGAGAATTCTTTTATCTTCCTCCAAATTCACTTATGCCTTATTTGATTCTAGGTGTTGCTGAGATGGTGTAGAAACTTCGGTTTCATATTCTCATTAGTATTTTTCTCTTCATTACATCTCTTTTTATTTAAAGAATATTTATTTAGTGCTGAGGTCTCATGAGCATTTGCAGTCATTCTCCATTTATATTTGACTCTATGTATTTCAAGACCCATAGCTTACTGCCCTTCTTTCGTCTCATCTGGAACCTGGAGATACCTCCTTTGATTCATTGTCTATTTAGAGTTTTCTCTTATTTACTTTCCTCAGATGGAGTTTGTGGGCCATTTTTTCCTCTGAATCTTTAATCCTAACAGATAATTGGTGGCTCCAGTAGGTGGATGGTTGTGCACTGCAGCCCCTTCCATGAGAGGTCCCCAGCACCCCAGCCTCCCCCAGATTCCAGTGTTGTACACAAGGTGCCCAATGCCGGTTTGATTTCTTCTTCCTTTTAAGTGGTTCTTACTTTTATCTGGAAAGATTATGATTTTCTCATAATCCTGGGTCTTCAGGAATTTTATTGGATTATGCTTAAGAGTGTGTCTTTTTTTTTTTAACCTGTTAAAACTGTTCTGCACCTAATTCTACCAGGGCTAAGGGAAACTGATGTTCCCCACACCAATAAGCAATTCTAGGACATGTGCTGGGTGTCCTACAATTCAACTCAATTCTGACACTATCCACCTGGAGATGGCATCAGATTTCACCGATTGAGGGCTCAGTTCCATAAGGCAGCCCATCCCCCCACCCCCCACTTCAGCTACAGGTAGAGACCTGTGCTTCTTACCAACCAGCTACAGGTTGGAGGTTCCCATGACTCCCTCTTCGGGTTCCATTAATTTGCTAGACTGGCTCACCGAAGTCAGGAAATCTGTTGACTCCCTGGGTTACCTGTTTATTGTAAAGGATATATATTAGAGGATACAAATCAACAGCCAGATGAAGAGATACATCAAGCAAAATCCCAAATAAAGGAGCTTCTGTCCTCATGAAGTTTAGGACCTGGCCCACTGGCATATTGAAGTGTTCTGATTCATCAACCTGGAAAGTCTCTGACCCATCTCTCTCTCTCTCTCTCTCTCTCTCTCTCTCTTTTTTTTTTTTTTGTGGAGGTTTCATTACATAGGCATGATTAATTAAACCAGTGGCCATTGGCGATTGATTTAACCTCTGGACCCTCTGCCCTCCCTGGAAGTCATGGCTGTTCATGGTTGGAACGGTTCCCTGAAAACCAGCCTCATCTTTAGGTGCTTTCCCCAAGTCACCTCATTAACAGAAACCCAGTTGTGGTGGAAAGGAGCTTGTTATGAAAAATAAGACATCCATTTCACCTTTATGGCTCTGAAGTGAATTCAAGAACTGAGAACAAGAGACAAAACATAACAAAAGATGCTCCCCTTGCTCTTACTGCTCAGGAAATTTCAAGGGTTTTGGGAGCTGTGATCCGGGAACTGTGGACGAAGACCAAATATATATTTCTTGTAAGTCACAATATCACATCTGTCTTTCAGGGAATTCAAGGAACTCTTTTAATCACCAGCTTAAACTTTTTTGTTTTTAGTCAAGGAAATATGTTTAACCATCACCGCTTCTCCATCTATTTTCTCTTCCGGAAACACCTATTATTTATATGTTAGGGCTCTTGGACCTATCTTCCGTGGCATCTATATGGTTTTTTTCTTGTACTTTTTCTTTATGTTTTTGCTCTGTTTGAGTTATTTCTTTTTTTTTTATTTTTTAAAGATTTTATTTATTTATTTGACAGAGACATAGCGAGAGAGGGAACACAAGCAGGGAGAGTGGGAGAGGGAGAAGCAGGCTTCCTGCTGAGCAGGGAGCCTCATGCGGGGCTCGATCCCAGGACCCTGGGATCATGACCTGAGCTGAAGGCAGACGCTTAACGACTGAGCCACCCAGGCGCCCTCTGTTTGAGTTATTTCTTCTTTGTCTTTGCCTCTAATCTGTATGAAGACCATGTTCTTCAGCTCATCCACTTAATTCTTTAGTTTTACAAATCATGTATTTGGGTTCAAGAAAGGTGTGTGTGTGTGTGTGTGTGTGTGTGTGTGTGTGTGTGTGTGTGTTATTAAGTGAATTTTATTAAGTGTTTCTCCTGCTCCCCACCCCAACTTCTCTGCCTCCACAGAGTGTGATTGCCCCAGGAGCATGGTTCTGTGTGTTTGTCAGTTTTTCTCTTCTGGCTACCCGGTCTTCTGCTCAGGACCAAAGGCAGTCTTCGAGCACCGTTCAGAGAGTGTCAGTGGTGTGACAGGAGGAAGTTTCTCTGCTCCCTAGGATGCTCAGCTGCTAAGGCTGTCTCAGTGTGGAGCTCTTCCAGCTTTAAAGATTGTTTAGCCTATCAAACTCCACAGAACTCATCGAGAGGAAAGATGAGCCCAGACTGCTGAAGCCTCTAAGATAAAGCGACTCCGGCGGGGGCAGCCTCCCCCAAGGCATTTGGGGACCCTCACTGGCATCTCCCTAGAGTCCACAACACTTATTCTGGTTTTCCACTGGGCTCTCTGCTGCTGGCCCTTAGGCTTGCGTTTGGTGTTGAGGGAGGAAAGTGGCCATGCCATCTCTCTCCTTTGGGACCAAAGTAAAGCCTGGGATCTTGCTCACTTTTTCCAAACTGACAAGTGCAGTAGTCAGTCTGTGGCTGAGGGATGAAGACAGCTGAGGTGCCATCTTCCTAGCCTCATTGTTTCAAATCCCTTCTTGACCATGTTTTAGTATTGTCAGCAGGAGTCAGAACCAAAGAATTTAAATTGTGTGAGGAAGAAACTACACTGCACATGAGAATCTAGAGTTCCCAGCAACCTATGACCTCCAGTCCTCATGTCATCCACTTCACTCCTAGCACCTTTGACAAGTTGGACTAGCCTTTGATTTGTATTTATGTGTCCCTCATAAACAGATACTTTTCTGCCTGTCCTCAGCACTAAGTAGAAAGGAGATGAGTGACTGTAAAAACAGACAAACAAACAAACAAAACACCATAGACACAAGTAGTATAAAATAAGAAAATCAGTAATGTTGGTTCTCTTTGAACAAAGGAATCACTATTATCAGAAGCAACTGACACAGTAAAAACCAAGAGGATTCAGGTGATGAAAAATCAAAGTTGCAACATAACACATGATACATTTTGATAGTGTTAATTTCACTGTTTTGATTAGGCTTGAAGGAAAAAAATATGTGCCGGTGTTCAGTTTGTCTATGAAAATAGATTCATTCTTTGTATCATTATACTATACTATATTTTTTCTTTTTTCATAATGACATGTTGCAAAGACCCAGAGTACATGCTGTAACTCTACTAGTCACACAAATGCACTCATCTGTATAAACTGTTTCATTTGCTTTATAATTCTCTGATTCTAAGGAAATACTTAAATACTTGTATTTTATTGCTACTATGTTTGATGCCAATTTGCAGGAACACTGGGAAAAAAATTTACTTCGGTATTATAAATTGCATAAATACCTTTTAAATTTGGTTTTCTTTATTTGCAGATTACTTGAAAAACTGAATGTTGATGGGAATGAACTGATGACTTTTCCATCTGCAATTTTGAAGCTTAACCTGAAAAAAATCCTGTTTGAGAATACTTTCACGCATCCTGCTTTTTGGAAAGAGAATTCTTTGAATAGCCCACCGTCTCTTACTCAGATTACTTCTTTTTTCTTTTTAAAAAATAATCTACATGAATATTATGATGTGATCCCAGTGGAAATTCAAAAGCTACTAAAATGGTGAGCAAATTCCAAAGCCCTTTTAATGAAAATACACTTTTTAAGCATTTAATATGTTATTCATTAGAGGCCAAGTGACAGTTTTACTATTAACATACCCACACCACAGCCTTGAACATACATGGAATTCTTTAAATTTCTCCTTCTGGCTCTTCCAACGTAATAATATAGTCTAAATTCAGCCCGTTTACCAATATTCTCAAGTCACTACTTCATTCCAGTGTGAGTTACAGGTTGCTGAGGCATAGCTGGCAACATCTATACCATTGTGATATTAATCTTTTCTATGAATTACTAAGGACTAGAAGTGGTTTCTTCCAAAAAAGGGTTCTTTAGTCCCAGGCATACTATGCAGGGAGATGCTTTATATTCTAACTTCCTAGGCACCAAGAAGAGAGCAGCTTTATTTAGAGCAATTTCTCCTCCTCAGGGATTAATGGCCAGCATGAGAATCATTCCCTAATCTCAGGACCAGGGTTTTCAAGCCCCATGCATTAGGAGTCCACTCAGCTTATCTCATATTTCCTTCAGATGGTATAAAACTATTTTTATACTCATCAGTGCTTATATTACTAATTTAACAAATATTTGCCGTATGCCTAAGTAAATTTCCCAGGAGTATATAAATTACCAATGTTGACTCCATAAAAGGCAGGAAGCCTAAACAGACTAGTAATCATCAAAGAAATTGAAAAAGGTGATTAATAATCTACCAATAAAAAAGGGACCAGGACCCGAAGTTTTCAATTTTAATGCAATGAGATGTCAGTGCTCATGAGATTCGAATGCACATGAAAAACTAAGAAAAATCTCGAAGGCCAAAAAATTGTATAAAGAAGTAAAACCTAACTAGTGAGTGGTAAACAGATATGGGACAAAATGATTTGAATTCACACAAAGTAGGGAAAGCTGAACCTGACATTCCTCAAATCTGTACCCAAGAATGGGCTAAGTGTCCTCAAGCAGTGAATACATTTTTTCCAGTTAAACAAATGTTTTCAAAAGACACATCCTCAATTTAGACTTTGGAGATTCCAGGAAATTAAGTTCAAATGAATATTATCTCACAATTTAAAGAAATTTCCAAATACATGAGGAAATAAGCCACCAAGAGTAAAAGTCAGCAAAACCAATCAACAGGTACACATCTCCAAGGATCTAAGATATTAGAATTTTACAGAACATGAAATACCTATTTTATGTGTTTAAAGTAATAAAATATAATTTTAATTTTAAAAGTGGTTAAGAAATAAAAGACTATCAAATATGGCCGGGCAAATATGAACAAGAAATTTTAAATGAAATTCAATTCAAGAAAGTAAGTGTTAACAGTTGAAATTAACTTGGTGCATGGATTAAACAGACAATTATACACACATGCAGAGGGAACTGAAGACAGTCTTGTGTCTATGCAGACAGGAGGTAAAGAGATACATACTCTCACATAGATGTATAATCCCTGAGAATTCTGTAAATTCTCAGAAGTAATGGAAGATGTGAATTCAGATGCTGAAAGCTCTACACAAGCTGTTATTTACCACCTGGTGGTAAAACTGAAGGACACCATAGACAAGGGCAAAGACTTAAAATCATCTAGGGACAAAAAAGCCACTTACAAAGAATAACAAGTCCGCTGCCAGGAACAGTGGGACGGTAACTGAACACACGTGATTTTGCCCAGCACAACTAACCTGCAAGAACAAGGGAGAAAGAATGTCATTTCAGAAAAAAGAAAGCAGATAATTCACTCGCCCTAGATTTTCACTAAAGGAATTTGTAAAGGCGGTGCATCAGGACTCCAGGAGCAGGTCCTGGGATGTAAGAAGAAATGGAAGGAAAATATATTAGAAATATGTGGATAAACAAACATGATCTCTATGATCTATGAAATAGTAACAACAATGCCTATGGTGTGGTGTTAAAAAGAAGGTCTAACTAAAACCAGACATCAAAAAATGAGAGATATGGGGCGCCTGCGTGGCTCAGTCAGTTAAACGTCTGACTCCTGGTTTCGGCTCAGGTCATGATCTCAGGGTTGTGAAACCCAGCCCCACATTGGGAATCTGTGCTCAGCAGGGAGTCTGCTTAAGATTCTCTCTCTTACTCTCCCTTTGCCTCTCCCCCACATGCTCGTATATGTGCACACACTCTCTCTCTCTCAAGAAAAAGAGATATTTAATGTGTGATATTTAATTGTGATATTTAAATGATACTTTTTGTAATAGCAGAAAGAAATATATTCTGTATTTATGGAGAGAAAACTTAAAGCTTGACAAAAAGGTAAAGAAGTTTGAATTAAATGAGAAAAATACATATTCAGGTATAATAAGATTCAATGCCAAAATATATCAGTTCTCCCCAAAAAGAGCTGTATATTCAATGTAGTTCTGGTCAAAACCTCAACAGAGTCTTCTGAAAAACTTGGTAAGCTGATTATAAAATGTATGGAAAAGCAGAGACTCCAAAATGGCCAAGATAAGCCTGAGAAAGAAGCCTAACATTGAGGGACTTGCTGACTAGATATAAACACTTATTATCAAGTTAGAGAAAGTAATACAGGTGATATTACATGCAAGGAAAGACAAATTAACCAGTGGGAGGGAACTCATAGTCTAGTTACATTCTCATGCATATGTGAAAACTTGGTATCCGACAAAATAGCACTGTGGATCAGTAGGGAAAGGAGAGACTTTTCAATAAATGACACAGATCTTTGGTCACCTATAGGGGAAAAATGTACAGTTAGATTCCTGCTGTTTGTCACTATTACATATAAAATCATTTCCAGTTGGATTAATGATTTAAATATGAAAAGCAAAACTTTAAAGCCTTTACAAGCAAGTATAGGAGACTAATCTGTATGACTTCATGACAGGGAAAGATACTTTAAGCAAAACAAAAAATATAAACAGTAGGGGCTCCTGGGTGGCTCAGTCGGTTAAGCATCTGCCTTCAGCTCAGGTCATGATTCCAGGGACCTGGGTTCGAGCCCTGAATCAGGATCCCTGCTCAGCGGGGAGCCTGCTTCTCCCTCTCCCTCTGCTGCTCCCCCTGCTTGTGCTCCCTCTCTCTGTCAAATAAATAAGGAAATAAATAAAATCTTTAAAATATATATATAAACAGTAGAGCCAAGTTTCATTATTTGACAAAAGTAGAATCATTCCATGTAATATGACACTCTCAATGAAATTAAGAGACGAGCCACTAAGAAGATATTGCAATGGGTATAGCTGTTGACACATATATATATATGTCTCCTTCAAATCAAAGAAAAGATATAACCAGTAAAAAGTGTATAAATGTTAGGAATATGCAATTCATGGATGATGACACAGATAGCTGATAAACATGACGTGTGTTAAATCTTACTAATAAAGAACTGTGATACCAAATAGCAACAGATTTTTTGTTTACCTGTTTTATTAAGATTAAAAAGATTGACATAAATGCTGCCGTTGGATACCCCAAAACTGGATTATCATATACCAGTAGTAGTGCTGTAAATTGGTGAAAGCTTTGTGGAAGGCAATTGGACAGTATCCTATTTACCCCTTGAAATAGAAATGTAAATCTTCAGAATCTGTCTCATAGAAATAGTTAAAAGTGAACACAAAGTTAGGTATAAGGATGATAACTGCAGCCTCAATGTGCATCAATTAAAAAGTGGTGAAATATATCATGATGTATCCATATTATGGAATATTATGATGCTATTAATATGAAGTGAAACAAAATGTATTGCAATAAAAAGGTGTCCAAGACATTTTGCTAAATCTCTCTTTTGAGATTTTATACATAGAATTTAACATGTATACATTTTTTATATTAAATTTTTATTTTTTAAATCTAAAATTGGTAAGTTATACCAATTTCTACACCACCAAGAAAGTATGAGTGTCCCTGGTGGTTCTTATCCTCACCAAACTTCGTACGGTCAGACTTTTCCATTTTGCCCATCTGATGATTATGAAATGGTATCTGGCTTCTCTGATTACTAATAAGATTGGCAAGCTCCACTTCTCAATGTTTTCTAGACATTCAAGTTTCTTCTTCTGTGAATAGTCTGTTCATGTGCTAATGTCAGTGGACTAAGGGGTTGATGTCTTTTTTTTTTTTAACTGATTTGGGAGCATTTAAAAATATATACAGACACTAATCCTCTATGAGGCTACAATATAGTCTCTTTATTTAAAAAAATAATATATTTATTTTGAATTATAAAAATAATGCATATTTATTATAGAAAATTTGGAAAATGCAGAAAAAGATTATAAAGGTATATAAAATTTCTTGTGATCACACTGGCCAAGAATAATTACTATTTTCTACTTGGAATCTATGCTTAGAGTGTTTCTTGCTATGCATCTATACTTTTTTGTTTTAGAAAACTAGAATTGCTGTATATACATTTATCTACTTTATTTTTTAGCATTTAATTTTTACTTGTGTATGTTTTAGCTCAATTAGATGGTAAGATCAAAAATGACAAAGGCCATATTTTATACGACTGTGAGTCTCACATAGCATCAAGCACCATGTCTTTTCTTCAGTAGAGATTTCCTAAATATTGACTTGATGTGTCTTTTATTGCAGCGCATCTAGATGTGAATGGTGTCAGGGTCCCAAGTTTGGTGAAGGTTTTCGAGTCATCCAGTCCTGTGACGTTTTTGGAGCAACACACCTTCCTGTTTTGTTTCTTGTCTGTTCTTCTTCCTGCTATAGAAAAGTAAAAGAAAGCAGTTTTATTTCAGAGAGTATTCCTAGTAAAAAAGTAACTCTAAATTCTGACTTGGTAAGTCATGCAATGATTTAGGAGTCCCACTTTAAAAGCAATTAGAGTTTATGTCTATAGTAATGGATTTCTTCGAGAGTGCAGTTTCTTTCTTCTGTGACTCCTCTTTGTAATCCCAGCTCCTTATGAAAGTCTGTGACTGTTAGGGAATTGTTGCAGAATGATTACTTCAGAAGGATTAGTAAAGGTCTTTGGATTTCAGCAAAAATCTAGAAAATTTCTTTTAGAGCATGTTTGCTGTAAAATGAGCAATGATGGAAAATTTTGCAAAAAAGGATTTATCTTAAAACTTGCATTTTGGTGCATCCATTCCAAGTGATGTGATAGCATTTCAAAGTCATCAGTGGGGTTTGTGTCTCAGATGGGCTCAGATGGGTTCAAAGTCAAGTTCTCTTTGTGAATTTCTATGGAAATCCATCCAGTGCCAACTGTCTCAATTGTGGATTGTTTTAGGGAATAAAAGATTCATTCCAGTCCTATATTTAGTTGTTTGAATTCATTACCCAGGCTCTTAGAAAACTGGTACAATCTCTCAGTTATCCTGACCTTCATCTTACAAAGCCTGATTCCATAGACCAGTGCCAGCATTCAACGAGCCTTCAATGAGAGCCTGGCAAGAAAATAAAGTAAAACTTACAAAATTACATTGCAAAGCAACATACGAATACAGTAGGACTTGAGGCTTTAAGAATTTGTGTTTGGTAAGAGAAAGGTAAAAGCATTTTGATATACAAACAATGAAATTTTAGAGTGGCATGGAATTGTTTCATATTTGGCGTATTTTTTATGTGCACTTAAATCCAAAATGTCATTGCGAATGACAAAACTTGATAAAAACAAATGATTGAAATTTATACAGGTATCTTATCTTTAGAGAATATCAGAAAATACACATTATGTCAGGTGTGTGTGTGTTTCATTTAGTAATATTTAAATCAAAGATAAAATAAACCAGGCAAATATTTTTTCTGGCTACTGATTTCAATAAATTAGAATACTTGTATTCTTCTCTTTGAGACTCAGTTTGATTTTAAGCAGAAATAAGAAAACATTGCTTGAGAGGTATACACCATATTCACCAGCAAAAGAATGAAATTATTTATACAGAAGTAACTACCATATCACACATGTAATTCAGAAGGGGATATTTATAGCATAATAACAAATACATGTATTAAAAGGTAATATATCCATACTATAAAACAAGATAAAAAATAGGATTAAATCCAAGTGGCATATAGCCTATTAATACTCACCTTTGTCCCTGAAATGATTCTTGGAGGAAGAAGTACATTTGTTTTTTAATTTAAAAAATGTCGATTTATGCTTTGAGTAACAAGGTGATGTCATATTGAGATCGGGAATAAAATAAATTGAGATAGGGAAGAAAGAACAGGTTTCAAGGGAAATTACAATATCTTAGAGATGCTGCAGAAAATGAATATACCTAGACATTTGAATAAATACAAAATACATTTAGAGCCCAATCTCATTATTTCCTCATGGTTAGTGTAAACTTTGAATCTAAGTGATCTAAGACATACTTATTACACAAACATTTGAAAATAGAACTAAACCTAAGAAGAAAACAAAGTTCCCCTTGTAATGCCACTCAGTGAAAACCAGAGATAGCCATCTTGACATTTGGTTACATGTCTGCCTTTGGCTCAGGTCATGATCCCAGGGTCTTGGGATGGGGTCCTGCATTGCGCTCCTTGCTCAGCAGGGGAGCCTGCGTCTCCCTCTGCCTCTGCTTCTCATCCCACCTCATGCGCAAGCACACTCTCTCACTCTTTCTCTGATATATAAATAAAATCTTAAAAAAAAATAACAAAAAGATGAACTAAATCTTTAAATAGTTGTGACAAAATTAAATATACATATATTTACATCATAATCATTATAAGAATTTATTGCTGAAGAATACTTGCATTTGTGTACAAAAATATACCCAAGGATATTTGTAATAGTGAAAAATTGGAAACATTCTACGTTTCCATCAGTAGAGAGTTGGTTAAATATGGTAAATCCAACAAGTAATATCATTCAGCCATTTAAAAAATTGGATAGTTCTGTTTTCCCTGATGTGGAAAAATATTGCCAAGTATTTTTAGCAAAATATTTATTAGATAATATAATCACATAATTCAAAATTCAAAAGGTTACAGAAGAGTAGACCTTAAAAATTCTTTAAGCCCAATGCTCTGCCATCTATTTCCCGTCTCAAAGGCAATCAGTGATATCAAGTCCTTTGTATTCTTCCAGGATATTTTATATTTCTGTAAGCTAATAAGTAAATATATTTCTTTCCTACTATTTATACAATATTAACAAATAGATACACTCCTTTCTAGACCTTTGCATTTAATATGATGTCACAGAGGTGGTTCCACATCAGTCCATTATTACCCTATAATATTTTTTATGATTGCATATTAGGAATAATATGCAATCAAGAAACATGTATACTTTATTTTACCAGTTCAGTACAAATGAACTTTCAACTTTTCATAACCTCTTGCTATGAAAAAAACTGTTGCAATGAATAACCTCGTCATTTGCACATGTTTAAATATATTTGTGGGATAAATCCTTAAAGGCGAAGTTGCTGGGTCAAAAGGCATGTGCATTTATATTTAAGTGGGGGTTGGGGGGAATATATATTTCCTGTATTCACTTTTGAATAGGTAATACTAACATAGTGTACCCAGTTCAAATAAGATTTCGGACAGAGTGAAAAGTAAGTCTATTTCATATTAATTTCCTCCAGATGCCAGTTCTTCTCAGAGGCAAACATTGCTACCAGCTTCTTATGTTTGCCTCTAGGGAAATTTTAAGCCCATAGAAGCACAGAACTGTATATAGAAGAAACTTCCTTACTCTAGTAGGTTTTTAAAAGAAATGTTTTGCATCATTTTCTATAGCAGCAATATTAACTTCATTTGTAAGCTTCTTGGAAATGCAGAATCTCAGATCCACCCCAAACGTACTAGATCAGAATTTCTGGGGATGGTATCCAGGAATCTTCACAATCACTCTCTCCAGATGATTCTGTCACTCACTAACATTCAGATTCTCTGGTCTCCAGAGGTCAGAAGACACACCAAGATGTCAGAGAAAGAAAAGATGCAGGTTTTGGTGTAATGCACTTTATTGTCTTCTCATTTAGTCTCAGCCATAAACTGTCATCCTTGAGATCTCATCCTATAAAAATAATCCAGGAATGTTATCCCAGGATGAGCTTAACATTCAAAAATTGATCAGTGTAAGCCACTGGACATCCAGAACTCCATGAGCACCAGAGGCAGGAGAACAGAGACAGGTGAATGTTTCTCTCTCTAGGTGTTCATTATCCTTGTCCAAAACACCTCAATAAGCAGGTGCTGGTCCCTCTGCTTTCCTTCACTTGCCTTGCCTTCCATTTCTTCTTCCACTCCCCTACCCTCCCTCCTTTCATTGTTTTCTCTGGGCCTCTGTTTTTCCCTGTTTTCATTCCTGATGTAGAGAGTGCTTAATTCAATTGACACATGAAGGAGGACCAGGGATCACTGAAGTAGTTTGCCTGTAAATACTCAAGATAATCCTAAATCGTCCTATAACAGCAAGTGCGTGTGTAAGCATATATCCGTGCATACATAGAAGAGGGCTGGAGAAGTGGTACGGATGATATACCCATGATAAACAATGGGTTTGTGGTTACCTCTGGGAATCAGAATCTGGGGGCTGGGAATAAGGCCTTGTACTTTCTACTCCGTGACTGTTTCCACTTCAGTTTGTTTGAATTGCAGTTTAATTATGCATTATTCTAACAAACATAAAAATATTTTCATTTTTAATGGGATCATGTAATGGTGAAATTTTCTTTCCATCTTTCTTACCTTGATCATATATTGCAAACATTTTTTGAGGTTATTTATATCTAATATTGTTAAGTCATCATGGGAGTGCCTTAACTTATCTAAAATTCTCTTGTTCAATAAACTATCTTCAGTGTTTATCTATTGTAAACAACAACAGGATTTAACAAATATAATAAAAACTAAAGCTAAATCTTTGCCAAAATCTAGATGTGTTTTTGGTTTGATTTTAATAAAAATTTCTGACACTAAGATTGCTAGACAGACTTTGGCAGAGGTTTAAGCTTTTTATTCTTAGGATGAAATTGTTACCCTCATATCAGTTTAGCTTTTCCCCAGCAGTGTGTCAGATGCCCTTTTCCCCAAACCCACAACGTCATTGATTTTAGTTAACTAATTAACTATATTCATTGCTAGTTAGATAGACAGAAAACGTATATGATTAATTTACTTTCTTTTATTACTAATAAAGTTGATTTGGGTTCCATGCTAAATAGTTATGAGTCTATCATCTTTTGTGATTTTTTTCTTTGCATCTTTTTCTGATGTTTCTATTGATATGTTCATCTTGTTGGTTTGTAATGCTTTGTATACGTTGAGAATATTAACCTTCTGTCATGTATGGTGAAAGTTTTTTTCTCTCCATTAATACCGGCCTTTAATTTTTATTCAAAGTGGGGAGTTTTTTGACATGAAGATTTTAAATTTTAGGTTGCAAAATCATGGATGAGCCTGGAGGATGTTATGCTAAGTGAAATAAGCCAGACACTGAATGGAAAATACTGTCTGATCTCTCATATATGCAGGGTCTAAAAAAGTCGAAGTCACAGAAGTAGGGAGTAGAATAGTGGTTACCGGGGGCTGGGGTTTAGGGAAAATGGGCAGATGTTGGTCAAAATTAATCTATTCCCTTATGTTTTTGTCTTATATTGTTAAGCTTAGCAAGTCTGTCTCCCATAAACTGCCCTTCCAACAACACACCATGACAATTTGAAGGATTCCACGGTGTCACTGTCTGCCAGAGATACCAGAGGTGGAAATGGGGAAGCACCGGTCCTCAACCAAGGCAGCCAAGAGCATTCTCCAGCCCAGGCTGGTGCAGCTGCAGTGAGCCTTCCAGGTTGTACCACTTGGGGCCTGCACCTCCTGCAGGCTCCGCGGGGTCAAGGGCCTGAGGCCCCAGAGTTGATTGCTCAGGAAGCCGAAGGAGTGTCCTGTTTCAAAGTGGTGACTGGGCCCTTTATAGGCCAACCACTCTTTGGTAATGCTCCATCCCTACCAAACTCCCAGACTCAGGGTCCTTACTTCCAATAAGGTCAAGGAAAGCAGAGAAGGAGTGACGTGGCTGAGGCTCCTCGGTGCATTACAGGACTGACTAACAAGGTACCTAGTGCAGGACTTGGCCCAGAGCAGGTGCTCTGAAAAGGGTAGCTCATATCTTTAATGTCAGAATGTGTATTTTCCCAGACTCAACCCAATTCTCCCTTCTCCTATACCATGATGGCTGCCTTCAAGGGTGTTATGGTTTGTCTTTTTATATAGATTTTAAACACAGATTTCTCCAATTTCTTCTATTTTTAAATTATCAGCAGAAAGACATTTCCAATGGATTGAATGTCAATTGAAGATCTCTGAATTTTTTTTTTTATTTGTTGTTTGTATTGCATTTAAGGGAGGGGGAGGATGTAGAGATTAATGGCAAAAATTGATTCTTTTTTTCTATTTTCCCCAAGTTGTGCTTAGTTAAGCAC